CATTAATAAGATTCAAATACTCTTATTTACTTTTCCTGTTTCATTGAAGGCTTGAAGCTTGTCATGCTTTTGTTCTTCAACCGAGAAATGAGGCTGCTTTCAAGTTTTGAGCAAACACCTAAACTAAATCACAACTTTAGAGTGACAGCCTGGGCATGGCTGCTCGTCCTCAACAATCTGAAACAGTCTCCTAGTACCACTGTGCATTTCAGCTGCTGTAAGGAGAACTAGACAAAGTCTGAGTCAAAGCAAATTTGATCTGGAGTTTGGAAACCATTGCTTTGGAAATGAAGTTAGTAACAGACGAAAAACACGCACAAAATGGTTCCTTCACTTTTCTTTTAAACATACCATGCCAAATTCACATACTGGCTTACTATGAATCATTGTAAGCAGGCAGGCAGGTACAGAGGGCTTGAATAATCTTTAATTTTCTTTAATGTTTTAGAGGTGGTATTTTTTTTTAAGAGGTTCAAAGTTCTCCTCAGCCATCTTATGATAATCACCCAAAACAGTGTGGGCATTGATTACACATGGTTGATACCCTGTGATTGCTTCCCTTTCCTCCGACTTATCACTAACAACCCAACATGCCTTCAAGATGTTTTTCTACCTAAGCTGAGACAGAAATACAAGCAACAAATCTGTCCTCTAATACGCATGGTACCCATCATACTGCTCTCCTTCTATTGCCAGTTTTTTCTTCAAAACAGGAACAAACATGTCACTTAAGACATAAACACTCTGCTAGACAGTAGCAGCCAAGCAAAAGCACTTTTTTGAGTCAGCATCCCACCAACAACAACTGTGGTCAGGCTGGTCATTTATTATGTGTGAAATTAAAGACAGGTCCCACTATTAAGATTTTAGATTTGAGACAGTTTTTGTCTGTCTGCCCTTCTTGCTGTTCACGGACTGGGGAAGATTTGACAGGACCCTGAATGAATGAAGCAGATAACCTGACAGATGTGAGGCAGAATCAGCAGATGCACCCAGCACAAGGAGACAAAATATATGGAACACACGAATGGGTCCTACTGCATAAGCAAGACAGCTTGTCTTGATGTTTGTGAGCAGAACCACTTTCAGCCCCAAAAAGCACAGGACATAAAAGCCACACATCATACATCAGCATGCACTAACCTCACATCTGCGACTGTAACGTATCATCAAGAGATTTTTTATCCTCTGTCCTGGACTGTGATTTGTCAGACCTTC